TAGTCCTCATTCTCATTGATGCTTGGTTGTTAGTTTTCTGGAGAGTTGAACAGAGGACCTTTGCACTGAGCAACATCATCATTCATCATCATCATCGTCATCATCATCATCATCATCATCGTTTTCTGTGTGTTTTTGGTTTTTTTTAGAAAAGGACTCACTAATTACCTAGGGTATGTTTGATCTTAAAATCCTTTTGCTTCAGCCTTCCAAATAGCTGAGATTAAAGATGTGTGCCATCCAGGAGGATTGCTGCGAGTTCAAGACCAGCCTGGGATACACTGTGAGTTCCAGAGCAGTCTGAACTACTCAGTGTGACCCTGTCTCAAAAAAACAAATGAACAAAAAACAAAACAAACCAAAGATGTGTGCCATCATGCCTGACTCAGTTTTCAAAATCTTTGCCAATCTGGTATGTACTGTTTTTGTTTTGTTTTGTTTTGACAGGATCTCACTATGTAGTCTAGGCTGGCCTCCAACTCCTGGCAATCCTTCTGCCAGGATCATAGGCGTATGTCACCACGCCCAGCTGGATTGCTGATTTTGAAGATGAAAGAGGGTCAGAGATGTGGGCAGCCTACAGGAAGCTGGAAAAGGCAAGGAGAGGGATTATCCTTAGGGAAGGCACACAGCCCTACCAATATCTTGATTCTAGTTCAGTGAGCCCCACTTTGGATTTCCAGTTGCCAGTACTATAAAATGACGATTTTTTTTTTTTTTTGCATTTTGAGACAGGGTCTTGCTATGTAGTCAGGCTGGCCTTGACCTCACTATGCAAACAATGCTGGCCTCCAACTCAAAGCAATCCTCCTGCCTCAGCCTCCTGAGTCTTGGAATTATAGGCATGTGCCACCATGTTTGGCTCACGATGACAAATTTATATATTTTTTGACAAATTTGTATTGTGCGAAGCCACTAAATTTGTGGTTATCTGTTGCAGCTATAATAGAAAACAAGTACAGATTGTCTACTTTTTTTGCTAGTTGATTTGGAGGTGTTCTTTTTACAGTCTGAATATATTCTCCTTAACCAGCTATATACACTGCACATTTCTTTTCCCAGTTTGTACTTTACCCTCATATTCTCCATCTTCTCTTTCATCTTCAGCCCTCTCTCAATATGTCTATAGTAGTACTTTTGGTTAATTTCCTTTTCCAGACAACACAATAAATATAGTCATCTTTCCATATCTGTGGGGGCTTATCCCTGTACCCCAAGGATAACAAGAACCACAAGAAGAGTACACCCTTGTATAAAATGGCATAGCATTTGAGTAGAACCTAAACACATCCTCCTGTACACTTTTTTCTCCCAATACTGGGACTGAACCCAGGGCCTTCCCACTGAGCTACATTCCCAGCTCTTTTTATTTTTTATTTTGAGATAGGGTTTCACTAAATCACCCAGCTGGACTTGAACTTGTAATCCTCCTGCCTCAGCCTCCCCAAGTGTCCCAAACACTTTAAATTATTTTTTAGATTACTTATATCTACTACAAAGGAAATGCCATGTAGATTGTTATACTGTGTTGTTTAGTGGGTGGTGATAGGGAAAAAGTTTGTGCATGTTCGGTACAGATGCAACTGTTCTCTTCCCTCCCCTTTTTTGGGACAAGGTCTCACTAAGTAAGTAGCCCAGGCTAGCCTTGAACTCAAGGCAATCCTCCTGCCTCAGGCTCCCAAGTGCTGGGATTATAGGCATGTGTCACCACACCCAGCTAAGAAAATATTTTTTATACAAGTGGTTGATACTTCTCTCAAGACCCAAATCTTGCTGGATGTATGTCTGTAATCCTAGATACTCAGGAGACTAAAACAACAGGACTTCAAATTCCAGCCCATCCCCGACAATTTAGTAAGAACCTGTCTGGGGGAAAAAAAAAAAGGCCCACATCTTTTTGGCCACCATTCTGGTCTAACCTACCTTAAACCCTCCCAGTTTATCTTTTTCCCAGCCATTGTCCCTGTCTTTATGGGCTTGATTCTCAGAGAGGTCTGCCTAGAAGCACTGGGCACAGTACTCTCATGCTGAAGCTGAACATTGGGGTACAAACAGGAAGTCTAGGGTGGGGGAACCGCTGTTTCCTGTGCAAAGGTCAGAGTCCCAGCAGGAAAGAGAACAAGCTTCAACTAGAATAAAATGAAGAATGTGAATTCAAAGAATTCCTGACAAAGGAATGGGCAGGGTTCAGGGAAACCGCAAGATTAGTGCAGCTTCCCATACTGTGGGCTGTCACCCCTAGATGTGAAGCAGGGAGGGAATCTGCTGAGGGGTAAAGTGCTCCTCAAGAACCTGGAAATCAGGGTGACCCATCAGGGCGAGGCAAAGGCACCTGGAGCAGATGCAGGGTAACTCCATGATGGATGGTCTGTGAATATGTGGCCCAAATGTTTGGGACCAGACTAAAGACATCAGGGTAGGGGCTGGAGATCCTGGGATGGGGTTGGACCTGACCCTCAATGGATTTGAGGAAATCTCATCATCTGTATGCAGTGAGCCTGCCCACGGAGAGTATTTACAGCCATTCCTGGCACTTGGTACTACTAAAGAAGTAGCTGCTATTTTTTTAACAGTAGCAAAGTTTAATTAAAGGTAGGAAAATAAATAGGCTTGGCAGAGTGAGTTTGGCCCAAGTATAAGTAGGAAAAGAAGTACACCCTTCAGCGTGAGGGCCATCCATGCAAGAGAACACTGTAGCCAAAAACTCAAAGGCAAAGATCTGTTTCATATCATCCACTGCTCAGGCTGACGTCAAGTCTAGCCCATCCTATTGAAATAGTTTCCCATCGCAGGAAACTATTCTGTGCATGTGTTCTGGGATTTTGTTAATTAACAGGTCACATCTATTTCCCCAGCCATCTTTGCCATGCCTTAATTGCCTGTGTCATTTAGTAGCTGATGTTGTTAACCCAGTTTGCAGGACAGGTGACAGGAAGGTGTAAGGAAGCCCATGCTGCCTTGATTTTCGGACAAAAAGATCCAATTCTGCTTCTCAGTTGTGCAATTTGGCACCTGTGTTCCTGGGGTTTGTCTGTAAGCCTGCTATTCTGGCCAAATACCAGTCCTGCATTACACCCATGAAGTCAGGTTTTGGAGCCTGGCAACTGTGTCCCACAAGTCAGCTAAAGGTGAGTATGGGTAGGTCCTGCCTTTAGCAACACTGCCAGTGTCAGCAACAAACAGGAAGAATAAGAATGAAGGGATGAAGGTCTAGCTAGGAGGGTCGGCAATGCTCCAAGGCATGTCCAGAAAAGCCTTACCTTAGGCACCTCCTCCTCCAAGAAGTTGTCCTTGATCTCTACTCCATCCAGGCTGGCATAGTGCCCTCCCATGCACTTTGTATGGCACTGGCCAAATGGCACATCTGAGGGTTCTAGAAGGGAAAAATGATGACTTTTTTTTTTGTACTGGGGATTGGAGCCAGGGCTTCCCATATGTAGGCAAGTACTTTACTATTGGTCTACATCTCCAGTCCATCCTACTTTTTTTTTTGAGTACTGGGGATTCAACTCAGGACCTTGCCAGGCAGGTGCAGTGCCGCTGAGCTACATGTCTGGCCCAACCATTTTACTCATTTAAAAACATTTTTGGAGAGTCCAGGGATGTAGCTCAGCAGCGCCGCCTGCCTGGCAAGCACAAAGTCCTGAGTTACACCCCCACCCCCCCCCGTACCAAATATTTTTGTTTGTTTGTTGTTTTTTTGAGACAGGGTCTCACTAAGTAGCCCAGACTGGTCTCAAACTCACAGCGATCCTCCTGCCTCAGCCTCCGGAGTGCTGGGATTACAGGCGTGAGCCACCACATCCGGCTAATTTTTGTTTTTTGAGACAGTGTCTCACTATGTAGATCAAACTGGCCTTGAACTCACTATGCTAGCCTTGGACTCGAAGCAATCCTCCTTTAGCCTCTCCAGTGCTGAGATTACAGACCTGTTCCTATACCCTGGCTCCTTTTTTATACTTTTGAGACAAGGTCTCACTGTGTAATTCAGGCCAGTCAGGAGCCCACAGAGATCCTCACGCATCAGCCTCCAGAGTTCTGGGATTACAGGCTTGTGCCAGCACGCCCAGCTTCAATTTACTCATTTTTGTAGCCCAGGGCCCAGTAGCTACTCTTAATGCTCTTGGGGGCAAGACTGAGGCCCTGGGGTGGAGGGGGCACAGCTTGGGAGCTGGGGCAGGGGTAAGGGAGAAGAGAATAAGGTGGGGAGGAGGAGCGGGAGGGGTCCGGGCCTCTTCCACTCCCTCGCTGCTTCCAGCCGCGCGCCCTCAAACTCCAAGAGTTCCCCGCACTCGCGTCGCGGGACGGGCGGGGGTAGTACAGGCCTCCCTTGACCGCCGACTCCTGTGTGCGTGGGCCGGGAGCCCCGGAACAGGTTCTCAGGACTCCGGCGGGAGCGCAGGAGCGCAGGGTTCCAGTTCCACCCGACCGGGGCGGAGCCGGGAGCGCCGTGGCCCGGGACCGCG